ACAGCAGGAGGAAGGAGTATTAGGTATGTTCGCCACTTTGAGTTATTTGTCAAAATAATAACGGTGGGATAACAAATCTAAAAAAACAAACCTCCAGCTCTAAACCCCAATCAGCTCATTATTTCCTTCTTTTGCCTTAGCAGGCCCCCAATACCTGCAAGACGCTTAATCCTCATTCATACGTCACTTTCCCTTGCTAATGTCTAAACGGAGCAATTCTGGGGATTAGGAAGGACTATAAAACTTGCCCAGCGAAAGCAACGCCTTTGTGAGGCATGTCCGTGGACTTCCCGCCTCACCGCAACCCAGACCCACCCTGGTGCACTGAAGGGGTGAATCTCCGACGCTGTTAAGTATGGGGACCATTTTAACAAATCTTTATTCATTGTAAGAGTCCAGGTATCTTCTCATGTTCACCTATTTTGATATCTGGCCCACAACTGCGCTAGCTGACAACCTACCGGGGCCACCACACGCCTCTGCTTCACATGGTCACCAGCAGTGGCACGTGGCCTCAGAACCTGGAGGGCCACGATTAATGGAGCCTCCCTGCCTTCCTCTAACCCCCTTTCGAGACAGCTGTGCTAAGCCTTTGGACAAGCTGGAAACGAAGACCCCAGACAGGCAACTCCTCCAGCGCCAGAAAGGGGCTCACCTCGCTCCAGGATGAACGCAGCCACGCTGCTCAGGCAACCCCGGTAGGCCAGCTCTCCCCCCAGAAGCATTTCACAGATGTCACTGGTGATCGCAGCGCATCGCTCTTGATGGAGGAGCGGCTTCTCTGGGGAGACAAGAAGACGGCTGCACCTAGGATAAGTCTGGAGGTCTGCTCCTTCCGCAGTGTAGGAGGATCTCTTGCCCTTGCGTGAAGACCCCCAAGACCAGGCCCAGCGTGGAGATCAAGTACTTGATCAAGCACGGACTGGAGATCAAGCAGGCTTTGAAAGCAGGAGGAGCGCTACAGGAACTTGAAAAAGATTTTGCAAAGCTTCTAAAAGAAGAACAACTCAAGAGGCCGCTTGCAATCAAAGGCACAAAGAATTTAGGACACTGTAGGAGGAGAGCCGCATTAGTCCACGGGGCAACAACTCAGCAGCCTGGTAGCACCTTTTCCGACTAACAAATGTTATTAAAAGGCAGAAGCTTTCGTGACATTTAAAAAGCTAATGCCTTTTAATAAAACTCGTTAGCCCGAAAAGGCACTACCAGGCTCCTCCTGATTTTATGAAACTTAGGAGTATATGACAAGGATACAGATGATGTGAAGAAAGAAGCCCGTTCCCAAATCTTCATTCTTACCAAAATGCAGAGACTTTACCAACGGAGTCTGGTATGACACCAAGCCTATGAGACACCAAAGAAATACGCTCACAGTGATGCAAAAGTGAGAGCCGCCCTCTTTTAAATCAGTTTTGCAAAATTTCTGCACCCCCGGACAAGAGCGCTATTCTCACAGCTCGGGTTTGGAGAGGAAATGCTGCTGTCCTCTTGACTTTGGAGGCAGAAGTCACCTTCAGAATCTTCCTTCCCGGCCAAAGGTTGACCTGAGGAGATACAAGGTGATAAGAATGTTTCTAGACATGTGCAGAGTGCTGTCCCTTGGGAACAAGGAATCCACAAAAATGGACATGCAGGACTCCAATCCAGACAAGAGAGTCATGAGGCAACCAAGACCAGCCCTGGAGGAGTGACCATCTGAAGCCTCAGAACGCCACCCTGTGCCAGCATTCTCCTCTCAACTCTTCATTTCATTTCATTTCATTTCATTTCAATCCCCAAAGCTCCTAGCCGCTAACCATCTCAACATAACATAAAAACATCCCAAAAGGGAGGGGTGGGAGTTTCCTCTAATATGCAGAAAACCAAAACAGAATTGAAATGTAAAGCTCTGTAAAATATAAAAGGCAAATAAAATGTAAAACTTGGCAGGGGGAGTTCTACTGTTACGGTGAGGGAGCCAAAGTCTAGCGCTCAAAACACACAAACCCCCCCCCCCACTTTACAGTTCCTGCGAGACTCACTTTTCTCTTCCTGCTTCTCCCCAGCACCCTGGGTTGGCCGGTCCCATCCGTCCAGCAGCAGCTTCTTAAAAGAGGCAGAGGGTGGGAAGGGAGCTGCAGCTGGAAAATTGGGGGTGGGGGGAAGGAAGAGGTACAAGGACAGAAAAGCAAAATGTGGACCTGGACCTCAAGGCACGTCCCAGCCATTCACCCTTGGCCCCCCGGAAGGGGAGCGGATCACGAACCCACGTCTAAGTCCGCGGTCCACCGCGGTTGCAAAAATGGCAAATTAAATTTTAGGTTGCACCCACAGAAATGGAGTTTTAGAATCATGGAAGTCATGGTTCCGTTTTGGTTTGTACTGGTCGGACCCCACCTTGAGTACTATGCGAGTTCTGGACCCTTTAGGAAAGATTCAGACAAACTGGAGCCCAGTCGCAGAAGAACCCCAAGGATGATCAGAGGAGGAGAAACGTTAAGACCTAAGGTGGTGGAAAATTCATCCATCGGGGAAAGGAATATTCCGGTCAGCCCTTTGAGGGAGACCAGACTAGGAAACCAAAGTCATGCAGACTAATACTACTTTCATTATAAGGTTTTACTGAAAGAATCTGGCATGTCTGAATATGCTCCCCCCCGCAATCTTCATGAGAACAAGGAAGGGTCTTGTCTGAGACGCTTTCTCAGATTACGGTTCTGGTCCAGATTCAGGTTTCTTTTATCTAACCGTTCTCTTGGTTGCGGCTCTTCCTCCTGTCCCCCAAGGTTATTCCTTCTGCCCATTGCAGTTCCTGGACCATGCTGAACCTCCTTGACTCTGTGGGGCTGTTCGATAAGTTTCCAGACATAAATCCTCCAAATTGGAATCAGTCGAAGAAGGTCCAGACATGGGGTTCTGGATAAAACATGCCTGTCTGGGGGCCAAACTACCCTCACAACATTTCAAACCATTCACCCTTTGGAGATTTACTCCCGGAAATGCCAAATCACCTCTGAACAACATGGACCAGGAGCTGTTGTTTCTCCACCTTGGCCCCTTTAAGCTGTGTGGACTTCAATTCCCAGAATTCTCCATGGCTGGCTGGGGCACAGCTTAAAGGGGCCAAGGTGGAGAAACACTGACCAAGAGGAAGCTTGACATGGTCTGGAGAGAAACCTAGTTCTGTTACCACCTCTGTGAAGTTTGCACCATCCTTATTTAGTCCTATGAAGAGAACTTCACAGGGATGAGATGTGATTGGAAGCTAGGAAAAATTTCTTCACGGTAAGTGTGATCTTTGCTGGACATGCTCCTGCACTGACTGGACAGTTATCTGTTGGGGGTGCCTTTGTGGGATTCCTGCCAGAGCCTCAATAGCACCACTCTTTGATTTCAAAACTCTGTGACATCTACGAAAACCCCAATCCGGTGCTTTTTCTCAGCAGACATGCTGCTATGTCCTGCCAGATCAATGTGCTCAGCACTCTTCCCCTTCTTCGTGTTCAATTTGATGCGCGTAGCTGAGCCTCGCACCGCTCACTACACACTTGCTACTGCGGAGTGCCATTTTTACCATCCCTTCTTTAAAAGTCAGTGTTTTAAGTAGCACTAAAAATTAAAGTCGCAGCTCCGTATGCCCGCAGCATGGCTGGCGTGAGCCGGGGGCACTGACTTCAAGCTTGCCACGCCGGTCTCTTTGCGCCCACAAGCTGCCCGCCCTCTGATCCCCCTCCGACCAGAGCCCCTTTTCACACAGCAGCGCCCACCTTTTCCTTCTGCACCCACAGGAGAAGCCGACTCTTCCGAAGCGCAGGGCTGAAGCCGGGCCCCCTTCCAAGGCAAGGGATTCTGCTTCTTCAAAAAGGATGGTGCAAGTTTCACTTTGGGGCAGTCTGCGCCTTCCATTCCTTTTCCGTCGAATTTCTTCTGGAAAGGTGGGAGACAAACACCAATTGTACCCTGTAGTCTCACTACGGATTAGCATGAAAGCCTTGCGAGGCTGGGTCAGCTCCTTCAAAAAACAAAGGGGAACGTGTCTTTTGGTGCGGCAGTCGTGTTCTTACCACGCTTTTACACACGCCGTCCTTAAAGGCCCATTCTTGTAAGGCTTCCTTATTCTTGCTCAGGATTTACTACTTATCCCCCTCGCTGCAGACCGTTTCACCATTTTCCTAGGCCAGTGTTTCTCAACCTTGGCAACTTTAAGATATGTGGACTTCAACTCCCAGAATTCCCCCCGCCAAGCAGGTCGGTGCTGGGTTTCTTGGGGGGGATAACTCAATAACTATAAAGGTGCAGAGGTTGGAAAAACAACGGCTGGAAAAAGGGA